TCACCCCAGGGCTTGCCGGGGGCACCTGCCTCAGAGACGTGGCTGCTGAGTCACAGCTGGCTGATGGCAAGTGGCTTCCGTCCCTTGCCACGGGGCCTTCTCCGTGGGCCAGCTTGAGGGTCCTTGCAGGTGGCTGTTCCCTCTCCTGGGGCACGTGGCCCCGGCGGAGAGCACGGCAGAAGCTGTGGAGTTTTCTGAGCTGGGTCTGGAAGCACACGTGCCGTGTCTCCGTGTGCCCTGTGGTAACTCAGGTCAGTCCGCTGATGCGTGGAAGGGAAGGGGGTGAATGCCGGGAGGTGAGGTCCCAGGGGAACAGAACACACCTGCGGCCGCTGAGCACGGAGCCTGTTGTCTCCCTGTCGCTCGAACATTCTTAGAATATTCCTCCCTGTGTCCCCATCGCGTGCCCCTCCCCTGCGCCCCTCATGAGGCCCCTATTTCCTGTAGAGGTTAGACATGCTCCTTAGCTCCTCACACCTGAACACGCCCGGGCCACCGCCTTCGACATAGGCCGCGTCCGCCTGATAAGCCGGAATCACAGCCTCTCTCCCAGTGGGTTTAAGGAAGAGGTCTGTGTGGGCAGGAAGCAGGCGGACAAACAGACAGGGCTGGGCAGACAGGGAGAGAGGGGGAGAGAGCAAGAGGAACAGCAGATGGGCAGAGAGCAGGTTAAACGCACATTGATCACATGCACAGGAAAACGTCGTTGCTGTTTATGGGTGCCGGGGACTAATTTGCAGCGGTTCGAACGTGCGGAACACCGGGTAAGAGCTGCTGGCGTGACAGGGAGGCGCGACCTGCCTTATTTGGCCCAGTACGCGCTGAGGGAAGGCTGTCTGGGCCGCTCCTTTAATAAGTGCAGGGAGTCACTGCTCACAAATCACCCTTCACGGATGTCGAGTGCAGCGTTGATAAGTCCTTTTTCATGTGATCGAGAACTTTACGTAACCTTTGATTCATGCTCTGTGACCTGGCCCCTTGGAGTGCCATCACCTTCTAGATTGATCAATTAACATTTATATATCATTTGAGCAAAGGGCACAGACGACTGTCGGGAGGAACAAAGACCCGTGAGAAGACACGTCCCGGCATGCTGTCCTCAGAAATGTCACCGCCATCCATCTTCCCATTCCCGGGACCACCGGCACGCCGTAGCCAAGGCCCCTAGGAGCTCACTTCGAGTTACCAAAACGACCTCCAGACAGTTTGAATGACTTCCAGCTTCTCCCCCCAAACTTCCCCCGAATTCGGCTTACTGAAGCATCGCTCCCTTCCCGTGCTCGGAGCCTTCCATGAATCCCGTCACTCCACGCCACACGCGCCTGGTCTCCGAGAGTCCCTGCCGCCACTGTCCCTGACCAGGATCGTCTCTGTCCCCAACCTTTTCACCTTACCCCCCTCCATCCCGATGCATCTGCTCAGTCAGACCAGCTGATAACTGTTTTGTTCCAAGAATTCTTGTCGGTGTCTGTTTCCTCCCCGCCCAGAAACCACGCTTCTCTCCAGGGACCCCGAGTCACTCTCCCATTTGTTTAAATTCAGCTCAGGTGGAGCCCAGGACCTCGCCCTCACCTCCTCTCTGGACTTTTAGGCGCCGGGGGGTGGGGGGTGTCCACAGGGACCGCCTGCAGTGCTGTGTGCATCCGTGTGTCCCCAGACTGAGCTCTGAGTGTGCACAGGAGTGTTTCCCCGTTCGTACCAGTGATGACGACAGGTGTCCATCCCTCAGCGCCATGTTCCACAGGTGTTTTTGCAGTACCTCCGTTAGCCCAAGGGGGTGCTCAATAAAAAATAAATGACAATGTATGAATGGGGGCAGAGAAATTATAAAATAGAAACGTTCCATTCACGCGTCCACTGATGTAATCAATAACTTGACTGCATACCTGTCACATACCCAAGATGTGCTGGGTGGGGCATGGAAGGGTCATGACCGTGTCAATCAGGCACGGTCTCTCCTTTGTGGGGACTTCTATTCAATGTGCATCGCTAAGGCGACAACCACGAGATGCTTCGAAAGAAAGTGAGGTGCTGCCCGGAGCACCTTGCTCAGAACCGCGTGAGTGAACGGGCAGGAAAGGGGAAGGATCAATGACAAATTGGGCTCCAGAGGAAGTTTCTTGGGGGCCTTAAGTCTTGAATTGGTCCTTGAAGTTTGGGGTTTTGATTTAAATATAAAGGCTAGTCCTGTAGCACAGGAACGGGTGCCAGTGAGCAGGAGTCCCTGCGGTAGGAGCCCTGGAGGTGGTGCTGGGACAGGCCTGGGCCATGCAGCCGGAGTGGAGGGGCTGGGGGAGGGGCAGGAGGCAGGGGGAGGGGCAGGTTATTGCAGGAGCTCATAGTACCAGCTTCCCCCCGTCTTCCGGGTGGCATGCAGGGAGCTCATCGTGTGCTCCCCCTGTCCACGGAATGGTTTGCACTCATCTTGTCGCTGACTCGGATGGTTCATCTGTAGCCTTTCTCTGGGAGCCGTGCTCACCCTCACCTACGTTCTTCTTTTTCAGAGATAAGCGCTCTTACCTCATGACCAGACCAAGAAACCCTACTGACAGATCATTCCAGGCCAAGTGTGTACACAAGCTAGCGGTGACTCGATCATGTGTCTGTTAAAGGACATGCACATGTGTGTCTATTCTCCATATACCCACGCACCCTGTAGCTGCAGCTGTCGTGACGGATAGAAGCTGACCCCGCGGAGGTGGGGACAGAGTGCAGACTCCTCAGGGACTCGTCTGTTACTTTTGACGCCCTGCCAGTCGCCGTTTCTTTCTTTTCCGAGGTGGCCACGCGAGAACACGCGTGTGGTCTTCTCTGTCACCGACACAGCAGCTTCTCAAGGGTTCCCTACACACCGGCTTCTGGGAGGGACGTTCCCTGGAGGGCGACCCTCAGTCTCCGTTCTCCCCCCGTCCGGAGCCCATGGCACGTGCTGACCTTCCCCGGCCCCGGCTCCTTCCTGTTCGGTGAGCTGCTCCCACCGGTGCACCTGCGCGCTTTCCCGTCTCCTCTCTCAGGCACACCTTCTCCGGAGCCGTCTAGGTGTCTCTATGGTTATTTTATGTTATTATTTTGTATGATGATTACTGATGTTAGCTGCTATAATGGGTCGATCCTAAAGGGGTCTCAGGTCCTGGTCCCACGAGCTTCTCAAGCTGCCCTGGTCCTTTTGCCATAAACATTTCAGAGAGGGACCGGGAGATGCCCAGTGGCCCAGCTGGATGCCAGTCCGTGTGCTGTGGGTTGTCTAGATGTTCTGAGTTCTTTTGGACCATGTTTTAACAGAAGTGCAAAACTATACATGGTATCTGTACGTGGAAGAGAGCTCTTTCCAGTCTTCCTGCTAGCAATAGGGATGGGAAAGGACACACGTCCAGACCATTGGCTGCTTCTGGGGGACACTGATGGGCGTCAGGTGCTCACGGGGTCATTGCTAAGCTTTCTTCAACCTGGTTATTCACAGGAACATTTTTACAAATGCTCACATTTTCTCCCGTGTTTCCGTGTGTTGATAGCAGATTAGCGGTCTATACAGGGTTAATCGACCAAGTCGCTAAAGCCAGAATGGGCAGTATTTCTCACAGAACCTGACCGGGGGAGAGAGGATAAAATACAGCAGCTCGTGGGGTCACAGAGAATGAATAAGCTGTGTAGTGTTACATTGTATCATCTTCAAGGGGAAAGTGTTACAAGGGGAAAGGTGGACAGAACACAGTCAATGCTTAATTGCAAAAGGTCCTGAGAGGACTTCATGGGGTCAGACTCAGGAAGTGCAAACGATAAACATATTTAGGGACACTCTGGTCCAGATTCGGCTGACCATTGTCCTAGAGATCTGTGACATTAAAATATCAAGGGTGTTTTTTCCATTTTGTTCTGTATTAGCTATTGCTTTGAAAAAAGTGGGAAAACAGATTTTAAAAAATATTTCAATTGTTAAGAAATTATCTTTTAGTAATATTAATGTTTGATATCAGTTTTTCTGGGAACAGACTTTTGAAGAACACAGTCCTGTTAGGAATGGTGTGTGAAATGAAAAATATTTTGTGTTTTATTATCATTACATAGAGAATAGGCTTATCTAAATAAATTCCAATGACTTTTTTACTATTAAAATTGCCTTGGGGCTGATTTCAAATTAATATATTCAATTTGTCTCATTTTCGTCATAAAATGATATGGTTCTTTTGCTAGCAAAAATACATAGTTATTCAGGAGACTTTTTTTTTTTCCTTACAGAGTGTTTTAAAGGAATCCAAATTTTTAGGACTTGTGTATATCAATTTATAGTAAACTCCTAATCTTAATTTAAGAAACTCGATATTTGGGTGGGCTAGGGGTAGCAAAAGAGACAAAATCTGACCATCAAAGATTCTCTGCTAAATCATCTTTCATTTAGAAATCATCTCTTTCTACTTGCTGTGAATATGAGCGCCTGTTTAACCTAACTGCTTTGGCAATAGTGATTTTTCTTTTGACTCTGGGGAAGTTCAGATTCTATGTATTGCTATAATGAACTTCAGGGGAGACCTTCCGACGCCTCTGCCATGGGAGTCTCAGTGTCAAGTGCGCAGTGCCTGCCTTCCAGGGACCACAGTCTCTGAGAGGAGAGACATCAATACCATGATGTGATGACGGTTCGACAGAAACGCGTGTGCGTGTAGGGGGTGGTTAGTGGGCTAAGGGGAAATTATGAGTCAGGGAAGGCTTCTGGAAAGAGGGTGGACCAGAGCTCTCAGGTTTGAACAGCTGATTGGTAAGTCTGTCCACATGGAACATAAAGTTAGGGACGCAGTGTTCTGCGTGGTCACTGGTGCGCGTCCAGTTTTGCAGACCTGGACCTGTCAGATGGGTACGAGCTGGGTGCTGAGCAGGATGGTCTCCGCAGAGCGTGCACCCAGAGCCCCACGGGACTGTGAGGTGTCCCCCCCACCCCCACCCCTACCTGTAGTGCGGTTGCCTTTCCACCTCAAAGTGCTGCAGAAATGTCTTTGTCTTTGCAGGAGCCCGGTGCTGGTTTTCCAGTGCAACTACCGCCACGTGATTTGCTTGGACTGTTTCCACTTATACTGCGTGACCAGACTTAACGACCGGCAGTTTGTCCATGACCCTCAGCTCGGCTACTCTCTGCCTTGTGTGGGTAAGTCTGGCACATGTGCCCGCTCTTTCCGTGCTGGTTCAGAACAGGAGAGCTGCTGATGCAAAACCGTCTTAGGGACGGCCAGGCCCATGCTGAGGGTTGAACATTCAAATGTCTGTCTGATCACTGGGGCCAAGAAACATTAATATTGGGATCATTAAAAAAAAGCACAAAACTGTATGGTATGAAAGAACTGTGTTGAACTAGAAGATGAAAAGTCTGCATAAAGGCATTGAAGTTTTTTAAAATGCAATATTATTCAGCCAAAGCACATACCGTGTGTCCCTGGATTCACTCTGGGGGTACAGATCTATCGCTCAGATCTGGAGCAGGGCTGCCCAGGAGGTTCGGGCGAGCGGTCCCGCCGTTGCCGATGTTCAGCACGTGCACTTATGTATGAAACAACACATATTAAAAAGACATGAAAGAAGAATGAGATAAAGCTGAAATATTTAAGATTTGAATATTTTTAAAATCTTTCAACATTTACAAATCATCTTTTTACTTGCACTAGATTATTATTATATGCGTTTTTAACTGAGGTGAGATTCATATAACATACAAATAACTGTTTTAAAGTACACAGTTTGGTGGCATTTTGGGCATTCACAGTGAAATGACCACCCAGCTCCCTCCAGTTTCAGAATGTTTTCAGTGCCCCAGAAAAATCGTCCGTATTCCTTAAGTTCACTCCCCACTCCCCGTGCCCCCCATTTCGTAACAACCACTGTGGTCTGCCTCTGGATTTGCCAGTTCTGGATACTTCATATAAAAGGAGTCATACAATATGTGACCTTTTGTGTCTGCCCTCTTTTCCTTGCAAAATGTTTCTGAAGTTCATCCAAGTTCTGGCGTGTATCTTTATTCCTTTTGATGGCTGAATAATATTCCATTATGTGGATATACCACTGTTTGTTTATCCACTCATTTGTGGATGGTTGTTTGCATTGTTTTTATCTTTTGGCTATTATGAATAATGCCAGGTCATATCGGAATTCTGTGTTTAACCCTTTGAATAACTACCAAATGCTTTTCCATAGCGGCCGCACCATTGTGCGCTCTCACCAGTAACTTATGGGGGTTTCTGTTTCTTCACCGCCTCACCAACACTTGTTATTTTTCTGTGTATTTTTTAATACTCATCCTCGTAAGTGTGAAGGGGTACTTCATTGTGGTTTTGATTTTCATTTCCTTAGTGACCAGTAGTGTTGAATGTCTTGTCATGTTTATTTGCCTTTTGAATATCTATTTGGCTAAATGCCTGTTCGAGTCCTTTGCGCATTTTAAATTGGGTTGTTTGCCTTGTTGTTGAGTAGTAAGCATTCTTTATATATTCTGGACACTAGAGCTTATGAGATGCATGAGTTCCAAACCTTTCTCCTATTCTGTAGGTTGGTGATAATGTCCCTTGATACACAAAAGTTTGAAATTTTGATGGAGTTCAATTTCTATATATTTTTTTCTGTTGCTGTTTGTGCATTTGGTATCAAATGTAAGACTCCATTGCCAAATCCAACGTCATGAAAATGACCCCTACACTTTGATTTAGTAGCTTAGCTCTTGTACTTAGGTCATCGGTTCATATACAGTGAGGTCCGCACCTCGTTATGTATTTGTTTGTAATGACTGCAGTGGGAGTAAATGTGCTCCGTCGACCTGGAATGTAGTGGTTGGAAATGATGCAACGCCTTCATGGAATGGCCAGGTGTCCGTTCAGTTTACTTCAATACTTAGTTTTCATGTTGACCAGAGCCGAGAACGTACCTCCAGATGATTTCAGAGATCTAAGTGGAAGCAGCTCGTTGCATCTCTGGCTTTGTAAACTGTGATACTTATTTTTCAAGTGTAACTGCTTCTAATGAAATGGTTTTTAAATTAAGATTTACGTAACACGTGTGTCAATATATTGTTAAGGAAAACTCACTGAAAGGCACTGTGCTTTTCTATTTTTAACAAAAGGGTTCAAAAGTCAGTGAAACATTTATTTGAAGTTTGGAAGTTTCTGTTTTTAATTTTTAATGAGTTCTTTGTTTTTTTGGTTTTTTTTTTTTTTTTTACTGATAAACCCTCTTCTTTCACAAAATCAAATAACATGGAAACATGTAAATATCCAGTTTCCAAAGTTCTCTTCATAGTCAAGGTACTTTAACAAATCAGTTCATTTCTCATTTTCAGCCCTTTTTGTTGCAGAAAAGTTTCAAACATACTAAGTAAAGAAAAATAGTAAAATCACCCCACTGGTACCCATTAGCCAGGTGTTTTCGAACAACAAGACTCTCCAGACTTTTCCTGCGATTCTTTCTCGATAGCCTGAGCCAGCCCCTGGTCTCCGCGCTCTGGTCCCGCTGTGGGTGGTGCTGTGCACAGTCCCGTAGCCTGCTGTGCTCGTTGTTTCTGGGCTGACACTGTTTCTGGACCTCGTTAGAAGATCTGGGAGACAAGCTTTAAAATGATAGGTATGGCCCTGGCTGGTTTGGGTCAGCTGTTGGAGCGTCGGCCTGTGGACCAGAGAATCCCGGGTTCGGTTCCCGCTAAGAGCACGTACCAAAAAAAAAAAAAAAAAAAGATAAGTAGATTCCTGGCCACTGTGCTTCAGTAGTTGGAGCGTTATTCCATGCACCCAAGGGTCTCAGGTTTGTTTACCAGTCAAGCCACATGCCCAGGTCGGGGTTTGGTCCCTAGATGGGTGTGTACAGGAGGCAACCAATGGACGTTTCTCACATCAATGTTTCTCTCTCTCTCCCTTCCTCTCTCTCTAAAATCAATTTAAAAAAATAAGTATAGGCTACAATGTTAGTTATGCTGACACTTCCATTTCAAATTCAGAGTTATGGAATTTTTACTTGAAATCATTAATCTTACAGTTGTTGCTTCTCAGCAAAAAATCCTGTTACTAGGTGATAACAACACAGTTACTCACTTGTCTTGTTGCAGCACACACACAACAGTATCAGTGTCAGAACACCAACACCATCACCAAAGTACGATCACACACTGAAAACAGTCTTTTCTCCGAGTTTGTCCCTGTAGGGATCACACAGTTACGTCACCAATCACAGACGTTTTATTTTTCTTCACATTGCTTTTAAATTTTATTTTATTGCAATAATTATGTAAAATATTGACGTAATTTCTAAGTCAAAGCCCTAAAATGAGTTACATGAAAAGAAACAGAGCTTTTATTCCTCTTCCCCTCACCATTCCTTTGCTCCCCCATAGGAAACCATTATTTGAAAATCTCCCAGTTTGTGTGCGTGTACACAGAGTACCGACACTGTGGCAGTTGACACACAACTGTGTCCTCCCCCTTAAGCAGAAAGGGGGTACCTGCGTGGTGTTCTCCGCCTTGCTTCCCCTCCTCTGCACTTTGTGTTAAATCCTGGTGATCACCCCCTAATAATAGAGAGGTATTTTCTTCATTACAAAACCAGCATCATTGAATTCCACTATGTGTATATACCTTCCTTTTTCCTTATTGGTGAACACTTGGTTTTCATTTTTCTGTTACAAGTATTTCTACAACCAGTAGGCTTGTGTGCACATGGCTTTGCCTAGTTTTGTCAGAGTGCCGCTGAGGTAAACGCCTAAACGCGAGGCTGACTGTAGGGAAGGGAAATGGTATTTAGTTTGGGTTCCCAGTTCCCCTCCCGCAGCCGCGTACTTCCCGCCCCCCACAGCAGTTCCTCCACTGTCTCCCCAACGGGGTAGTGAAGACTTGGCTATTTTCATCCAGTCTCGTGCTTGAGAAATGGTATTTCCAGAGTTCTTATTTTCCTATTTTGAACAAGGTTGAGTGCCTTTCATAAGCTTAAGATCCTTTTACATTTCTCCTTCTCAATCCTTTTGAAAATATCACCTTTTCCTCAAGGGACAGGTTAAGTGAATCTATTGAATTTTTTTTTTTTTTTCAAGAACACTCTCCATATAGCAAGCACACTATTGACATTTCCTTACAGTCACAGGAGAGGTTAACAATGTTGAATCACTTATAATTTTTTAGAGAATGTATGAAAACTGGCTTTCATTTTGCTGGGTGTTTTTTTGTTTTTGTTTTTGGCCACAAGGTAACTAACAACCTCTCTATGAGACAAAAGATCGGCAGGCTCAAGCACTATCTCATTGAAATGCAGTCTATGTATAGATTGTAATATCGTGTAGCTATATTTTAAGTACCTTTAAGATAGTTTTTTAATTAACCTTGTCAATGACATGCTTAGAACTCTGTGTACTCCTCAGCTCAACTTCTTTGTTTTAATAGTGAGGCAGGGAATGAATGACTTTTATTTTTATTTATTTATTTTGTTTACAGTCAGTAGCAGGCAGAAATATTTTAAGTAAGGATATTCGTCAGAGTGTTATATCACATATTAAGCTTTGAAAATAATCTGTAATTTCATCGATGGGATAATGTAAGATAAACAGTGGCATCAACATGTACTGGAAAAGGACACTTTCAATGGAATTGGGTGACTGAGCTTAGACCAAAACACATAAGTACACATGAAACAACAATACCAACTACAGATTTATAGAGAAGATACTTCAAGGAAATTATCGTATCCGGAAAGTGGAATTATAGTCACTTCAATTTTTAGAAACTTCACACTTGTCTTTTATGAATCTTCCACAAATCATGTGTGATTATATAAACAGGAAAAGTACATGCTATTTAGTTTTAGAATTTGAGATCCTTTTATTTATCTAAAAGGAGCTCAGAAAAGACTTTAAAAATAGAGGCCCATGATTCGACATCTGGACTAACATTTACTTGCATGGCCCAGACTTGATTATCACAGACCAGCATTGTTGACATATTCAGGCAGATATTTCAGGCTATTTGTTATTATTTGTCATTTATTTTATTGACATCTGCAAAAGAGTCTTGGAACAGTTTAAACCCAGACTTTAGAAGTCCTGTATGTCAGGTGCATTCCCTCACGTTTAGGTAGCTCTTTAGTTTCCCAACACTGTCACCTCTGTTTTCTAAAATCCCAAATCAC